GGCCCACCCTCAGAGCGCAGGGGCTGGAGGGCCACGGGGTCCCCGCCCCGCCGGCCTGCCGCCTTGAGGCTCAGGGATCGCAAGGCCCCCGAGAAGGTGTCGGCAGCGCTGAGCGGAGGGGAAGGCGAGTAGGTGGTGTGCAGACCACCAGGGGGGTAGTCGGGGAGGTCCAGGCTGGGCTCAGACGTGAAGTCCAGGCTGTGGAGGCTGTCCTCCCCCAGAGTCAGGGAGTCGGGGCCTGAGACCTGCAGGGAGAGAGGGTGCACGCCTGCCACTGCCCACCCGCCACGCCCACCTGGTCACCGATGCTCTGTGCCCACATGGAGGCTGCAACTTAGTGACATCAAGGTGGTGGCAGGTACAACCAACAAGCCGTCCCAGAAGCTCTCCAACCCCTGGCCACACCACCTGCTCCGTGTCCACCAGAGAAGGAAGTGGGGGGCAGGGTGAAGCAGAGCAGCAGCCCCAGGTGGTACCTCCCGGGGAAGGGTGTGCACACTGTTCCAGCTGGTATTCCCGGGGTGGGGGTGGGGGTGGGTGTGCAGGGACAGCTGGACCCTGAGGAGATGTCATCACCACACAGGGACCAGGGCCCTCTCTTGGGCGCCCCACCTCTGAGTGTCGGGGCACGACAGGGCCACCACTGGCCACTACACACACCCAGGGCAGTGTCCTTAGAGCCCACCCAGCTCCAGGGACAGCCACACCCACAGGGTCTTTGTGATTCAAGGCTCAGGCTGGAGACAAGAACCTGCAAAACTTCAAAACACAGAGCCCAGCTAGCATGTCTCAGTGGTGGAGCGCTGACCTATGAACCTATGAACCTATGAACCAGAAGGTCGAGGTTCAGTTCGAGGTCAGGGCACATGCCTGCGTTGCGGGCTCAACCCCCAGTAGGGGCGTGCAGAAGGCAGCCGATCAATGATTCTCTCTCATCATTGATGAGCTCTCTCCCTTTCCTTCCCTCTCTGAAATCAATAAAATATATATAAATTAAAAAAAACAAAAACAGAAGAGGCATGAGTGGGGACAAATGTGACCTCAGGGGCCAGCCTCAGGGGGACAACCCCAGGCCCTCTTTAAGAGCCAGGACAATCCCAACAAGGAGGTGCCCTGGATGAGGCACCTAAAGCCCACCCCTATCCCAAGCAGGGCCACTGCACACGGGCCAGAGAGGCTCGGGGTCACTGCCGAGACCAGTGGGCCCCGAGAAGAGGGGCGTCTTGGGTGGGTGGGGGCTGGTCGAGGTGTGCTGGTCCAACCACAGGGCTGCCTCTCCATGGCTGTGACGGAGGGCGGCCAGCCTGGGAACGCTTGGGGAATTCCTGGGAATTCCTGGCAGTCCAGGGCCACCGATGGCTCCACAGTGAGCACAGAATGCTTATACTTGGGCAAATAATGTGCTTTCTCAAACAATCTCAGATTCTTCTGAAGCCTTCCCGTGGGCCTGACGGAGTGACTAATGGTGCAATTCCTGGCATCCTGGCACATACTGCTCCTGGGGGCAGCCGCCTACTGGGCCAGCAGACAGTGCCGGCCAAGGGAGTAGGGCCAGGACCGCCTGCGCCAGCCCCTCCCAGGACACCCTGCTCCGCTCCCGTCCACTGGCCCTAGCTGGGATCTCTGCAAAGTGGGATCTTGCTGACACCCTCCATGACGCCGGCAGGGCCTCCCACGGGGTGAGGCCTCTGGGGGTGGGGTCTCCCGGGCAGGGCATCAGGGTAGGGCCAGGTTTCCTCACCTGCTCGCTTGGGCCACAGAAAGGCGCTTTGGGACCTGTGGGAAAGGCAGGCCGGAACTTGTACATGGCGGGTGTAGGGGGGCTGGTCCTCTGGGCCGACAGGGCGCTCTCTGGGGGAAATGGACCACAGTCAGGCCAGGGTCAATCATGCCCCTCCCCTCGTTTGGCTAGCCCCTCCTCACCAGCACTGCCTGGGCGTGGGGTCTGCCGGTCACCGCCAAATGAGCCAGCCTCCGACTTGGGGGGCAGTGGCGGCCCCAGGTCCAGTGGCTTCTCATCCAGCCGGTCCAGGCTGCCCTTAGACTGGGAGGGGGCATGGTCAGTGGTGGGTAGAGCGTAGGCCAGGGCTTAACCAGGGATGCCTCCCTGGGGCCCTGGGACATCGATTCTGCCCCAGGATCTGCCCAATTCCTCCGCCCTCCATTCCTCCAGGCCCCTCCAACCTAGCTGCTTCGCACCTCCAAGCGTCTGACCTTCCCCCCCTCTCCGACCCACCCAAGGGCCCCCACCTTGCTTCGGCCCAGGCCAGCCTTCAGCCCGTTGTCACTAAGCTTGACCTTGAGCGGAGGAGCTCGATCCAGGAGTTCGGGCCGAAGGAAGGGCGGCTTCAGGCGAGCAGCCAGTGGCAGCCGGGGCGGCTCCACCACATACCTGCACCGGGGAAGAGGGGGCAGTGGCGAGGCCGACCCAGTCTGAACGTATCCCGAGGGCAGGGCCAGCCCCACCTGCCAAGGGCAGAAGTAGGCCAGGCTTAGGGTCTGCAGCAGCCCACCCTGAGCCCGGGCAGAGGGCCCCTTGACACCCCACCCAGGCCTCACCGGGGAGCCAGGGGGCTGCACAGCACGTGCTCCACGTTCCCATAGCAGCCTCGGGTGAAAGGATTCACGCCTCCACGAAACTTCCCCGTCACCTGTGGACAAGGGGTCCTTCAGCCAGCATGGCTACCAGGGCCCAGCCCACCATGGGCAGAGGGACAGCTGGGGTTCCTCCTGGGTTGGTCAGGGTCAGCCCAGGGTGACCCCAGCTTGTCCCTGCAGGGAGCTGTGGAACTTCCGGGCCCCGAGTCACTGGTGGCTGCAGTGGCAGAGCTCCACCCCCTTACCCCACCTGGGTACCTGAGTGAGTGCCCTGCAGCCTTGCCCTGACCCCCCAAGGTCCCAGTGCAGGCTTGACCCTCTCAGCATCGGGGACCCCCATCCCTGTCACATCATGGCCCCACCCAGGGTCTGCACCTGCTCATTGGTAGTGCGCCCCCGAGTGACCAGCACCACGTGGAAGCCGGTGAGGCCGATGACAGGGATGAAGAAGAGGCCAGCCACACACATGACAGCCATGCTGGCCCGTTAAGGCCAACGGCCAAGGGCGAAGACACAGAGCAGGTGCCTGTGGACAAACTTCCCACCCACCCAGAAAGGGCAGCCCACCCCCTGGGGGTTCCCAGGCAGCTGACCCACCCCCGAGTCTGTTTCCCCTGAGAATGTGCCCCCAGCCCACACTGCCTCTGTGGGCGGGCCAAGGATACGTGATGGTGGTGTGGGCGGCTCCCAGCCCCTCGGCGTGATTCAGCACGTAGACCAGGCCGAAGGCGACGACGCCCACCATGTGAGCGCTGAGGGACAGCAGGAACAGGAAGAAGTAGCGGTAGTTGCGGCGCCCGATGCAGTTGTTGACCCAGGGGCAGTGGTGGTCAAAGTCCTGGGCAGGAGGAGCACGTCAGGGTGAACGGTGGGTGGGCGGGGGGACGCAGGGGGTGAGGGACATGGTAGGAGGAGAATGGATGGGATGGCGGGGCGGTCACCTCTACGCAGTTGTCGCAGACGCTGCAGTGGGAGCAGCGCGGTGGGCGGTAGAAGTGGCAGGTGGCACACCACTTCATACGGACCTGGATGCCCCGCACATCCACGTTCTTGTAGAGCGGGGCTCGGAAGTCGTCCTCCTTATCCTCGTCCTCATCCGCTGTGGGCCAGAGCCAAGGGTGGTGGCAGGAAAGAGACTTCCCTGGCAGGAGAGCCCCTCCCCGATCTCTGCCAGCCCACCCGTCAGGAACCCCCTACCAAAGACTCTCCCCGTGTCAGCCACTCACACTCTAGTGAGAGAGAGCGGATGACCTGCCCCAACACAAGGTCCTACCTCGGGGGAAGACGCCAGGGTCCATGAAGGTGGCCATGCTGAAGTTGGCCAGGACGAAGAGGAAGATGATGCCATTGTAGACGGGAACGGCTGGGGACACAGCACGTGTCAACCACGGGCACCTGTGTGGCACAGCAGGCGGGTGAGGAGGGACTTGGGGGCAGAGAAATTAGGTATGTACATGCACGTGCAGGCCTTCAAGGCCACTGTCGATGCTCAGCATGGCAGTCAGGAAGGCCATACTGCTGTGGGTCCTGGCAGACCCCTGCCCACCTGCCTGCTGCTCCTTTGCTCAACCATTGGGCTATGCACACTGTGCATGGTGCACGGACTCTGTGTGCCAGCTCTAACCCCAGCAAGCCCCCTGGTAGCTGTTGGGAATTTAACTCACAGTTGAGAAAACTGAGGTTTAAAGAGGGCCATAGGCCTGGGGTGGCACGACTTAGGGGGGGTGACCAGAGCCCACCCATGTCCTCCCACCGCACCCAGGCTCCCCGGAGGGAAATGAGCCCTTTCTGTCCATGCACCGTGACTGACAGAGGCCAGTGACCCACCAGGTAGCTCAGGCCACCTGTTTCCTCACCTAGATCTGTCCTAGCCCAGCGGGGCCCCTGAGCCTGGAGATCCTCGGGTGTGAGGAGCCCCAATTCTCAGCCAGTGGATGCAAAGTGGAGTGATCCCTGCTATTCCCTGAGGGGCGCAGTCTCAGAGTCTGGGCCACCTGGCAGCGCCTTCTTTTCAGTAGGTCACCTTACTCTCCACATGACAATGCAGAACGCTGGGAGACTCTAGGAAAGAATGACGCCCCCACCCCTTCGAAATCTTTCACCACTTGCCCCCTCTTCCAGGAAGCCTTCCCAGACTCCTGCTGCCCTGTAAGGGTCATGCATACCTCCCTGATGGGTACTCTGCCACAGACAGTCTCTTCCTCAGCTCTCCTGGGACCTAACCAGAGCCCCCGCCAGTCCCAGGGCACATGGCCTCTGGCCCCTGCCCCAACTCACAGTGGGCCCCTGAGTCCCCTCACTCAGCACCCACAAAGCCCCTCTGGCCTCAGGCTCCCCATCTCCCCCATGGTCCCTGGCTGTTGTGACAAGCAGGGACATTCAAGGGGTTTGCTCTCTTCCCAGTTCTGAGGCTCACTGTGAAGTCGGGGGGCGGGGCACGGGGATCCCCGCAGCAGCCCTGACTATGAGCCCTGCCTGTCACCCAGCGCGTACAGGCCACACTGGCGCACCCACGCCTCATTTGGCCGGAGGCCAGTCCCGCCACCCCGGCAACCACCTCCATAGCAGCAGAACTTCGCTATTTTTAGTGGAAAGCAAGAAGCTATTTAAAGATTCCCTTCCCACAGCAGCACGCTTGGCACCCGGAGCCTGAGCTACCCCTTCCCCTTCTCTGGGACCCACCATGGAGGTGGATGCACAGCCTGAGGACGGGGTTCCCTCAGCCGGGAGGGCCTTCCTCTGCCTCCCCTTTCCTGGGCGGCCCCAAGTACCCCCCCAACAGACACCTTCCACACTTTCCACACTCCCCACCCGGCATGCTGGAGCCTAGCATACAGATAGCGCTCAATGTGATCCATTCAGCGAGACAACAGTGGGCGCTAGAGGCATGGTCTGCCCAGCAAGGCAGGGGTGGGGGCACAGGCCCACATGCCAGTGGGGATGGGCTTTTCACACACGCCCGGCCCCCACGGAGAAGTGGAGCACTGTGGACCCCAAACGGGCGGTTTGAACCAGCTCCCCACGGCACCGTCTGGGAAGGGCTGGCCACGTAATCTGCCAAAATGAAAATGTCCCACTTGTTTAAAAAGTGAAGAATTTCAAGACAGTGAAAGCATTGAAGCAAATACGGACCCTCGTGCACCTGAACCGTCCGAGGCCAGTGGAGGCAGCCTGTTCTGGGAAAGGAAGAGGCCGAGGGAACCCAGGATGCACTGGGGCGGGCTGAGGACAGGAGATGTGCAGACACGGAGCGCAGCAGGCAGGTGGGCACTGAAGGCAGGACATAGGGGGGAGACTAGAGTGTGAGCCCCGCCCACCACCGTGTCCAGGTTTGGCTGATGAATACACAAGACCCACCGCCTACCTGCCCTGCACAGTGGACCACACATTCCATCCTCCAGCTGTAGGGGGTGTGGGGTGCTTCTCTTCCCATTTTACGGATAAGGAGCAGGTATCGGAGGGCTTGACACATGCTCAAGGTCTTAGGACAAGTCTGCGTCAGAGCTGGGATTCAAGCCATTACACAGGCTGAACCCCTTGGGCAGCCCCCCCCCCATGCTGACCAGAGCTCCCGCTGACCTGGGCAGCCTGTCCTGCTTTGTCCTCCTTGAGCCTTGATGAACACCCAGGCCACGTGGGCTAGACAGTGGCCCTGATTAGATGCCTAAGACTGGGGTGTAGCTGGGCAGCACTGGGGCCAGGTTTGGAAATCTGCACTGTGATGGGCCAACGCTTACACTGAGGTGCTGGGCGGTCTCCGTCCACTGTGGGTAGCACCTACCACTGCCTGGGCCGCACGTACCCAGGAGGGTACAGACCTTAGTTGGTGTTGGGTAGGCTGGGGAGGGGTGCAGGTCCTCTGACTGGGACCTGAGTCACTGCCCACTCTGCCTCCCATCTCCATCCCCCCAAACTGATTCAGACCCAAAGATTACGCACTCCCACGCGATCCTGTCCCCCGTCCCCCCACCCCCGTCTTCCCCGAGGTGGCCTTCACCCACCAGGAAATGCCTTAAGGGGAGCTGCCTTAAGCTCACGCTTAAGGGGTACGGCTCACGGGCCAATGCTGCCAAGGCCTGGAACTCAGCCACCTCGGGAAACATGTGGGCTAAGGGGGAAAGATGAAAGAGCCCATGCAAACACATGCATATGCATGTACACATGTGAACACTCAGGGACAGATGCACGCACCTGTGCTCAGAACACACAGAGACACACAAACATGCTCCATACACGTGTGTACATAAGTGCACGCTGGACAAGCATGCACAGAGACACATGTCCACACATAATTGTACATAAAAGGCATGCATCCGTGAACACACGTGAACATGTGTTCAACGTGATGCACAAACATACAGATGTGTGCCCTTGTGCACACACTAGCACACCTGCATGGCTACACATACATGGCCACATAGGCACACCTGCATAAACACAGACCTATGCACTTGTGAACACACGTTTCTCCTCCCTCTGACCCCAGCCCCATCTAACCCGGCTGGGCTGCCTCTCGCTGCCCTTCCACCTCTCTGGGCGTCCCTTCGCTCTGTGACCAGGTAAGCACACGGATGTGTGAGGACACACACGCTCTGGGCAGGACCCGACCGGCAGCACTGCTCAGCCCACCCTGAGTCTGTCCTAGGCACCAGGAGGGCCCCTCTGCCCACAGGGAAGTAACGCCATGCCCACCCAGGGGATGGTACACTATAGGCTCGCCCTGCTGCCTACAGCTGAGCTTGGGGCCAGAGTGAGGCCAGGGCTGGAGCGAACGAGTCGAAGCTCTGAGCCCCCCTCTCTGACCAGCCCCTGCCTCTCCAGCGCCAGGGCACACACCACTGCTTTGAGCTCCCCCCACATGTCGAGGCCCCAGGTCCTGCCAGGATCAACAGGGAGACACCACCCAAGGGCATGGGAGGTTATGCAAGGGCAACATGCTCACCAAAGTTAAATGTGGACTGAAATTTTTAACTCAGCCATTTTCATTTAAATTGGGTTCGTCATTAACAGTCTGTGTTCACGCACATGGATACCCAGCGCCAGAGGGTCTGTGGCCACTCTGCCCTGATCAGGCCAGAAAGGCCTCTGGCCAGCTGCACCCACCCACCTAATCCCTACAGAGAGGGAAGCTGAGACTCAGAGGGCCAGGGATACCCCAGGCCACATGCAACAAGTCCTGGCAAGGGGCTCACACCAAGTCCTCCCTCCCCATGCAGCTCTGTCCACCAGGACCCACCATGGTCTGGCCTGGTCCTGGGCTGGCCCTCCCACTGTCCTAGGCCGGGCCTTGCTGCCTGTCCGGGCCTCTGAGCATGGGGAGGGCTCAGACCCACCCTGGGAACCAGCCCCGACATCCAGAAGTCAACCCACTGGCCCCAGACATAGGCATGATGGCCCGGCCCAGCCCCAGGCATTGGTATTCTGGCAAGCAGCCCAGCTCTGTCATCTTCACAGGGTCCCCGTCGTTCTGCAAAGTGGCTCTGGGAGGAGTAAGGGGCAGGGGCAAAAGCCCGGACCCTCCCACAAACCCTCACACCTGTCCCAGCCTGGCACCGAGCCAGTGTGAAGAGCTTCTGGGGCGCAGGGGAACACAACTGCACCAGGAACCTAGGAAGGCTTCCTGGAAGAGAAGGGCCTCTGGGAACCTGCCCTGCGATGTGCTCCCCATTCTCAGAGGAGGGGTACTCCAACCTCCTGGCATATTTTCCGGGCCACAGACTGTCCTAGCAACATGGTCCCAGCCCCCTCAATGAGCTGGCCTTGGTCCTCCAGGCGTGGTTCCTCACCTCGCATGACACCAGGAGCTGCTGCCTGTGCGGACCTGCCCTACGGGGGCATCTCATGTTTACTGAGTGCAGAGAGGGCCTGGGGCCCTCAGCATCCAGTGAAGTCCAAGGATCAAAGGCAGAGAAGACAACCCTGCAGGCTTGAGGGTGGGGAGAGGGCACAGGAGAGCTGCCCCCTCCCTGCACGTGTCTGAGTCTGGGGCAGGCCTGGGGCAGAAACAGGGCAGAAGCATGGGTACTGGGGTGATGAAAGGCCAGTCCCGAGAAGGGGACCGCCTGGGCCCCTGCTTGCCCAGAACCGGCATATTGTGCCGGCATGAATGGGCCGGACCTGCCCCACAGAGCCCCTTCTCAGGGACCCAGCTACCAGGGCAGGGGCAGGCCAGGGTTCATTCGGTCCAAACAATGTGGCCTCGGGGTTGGGCTACAGGGGAGCCCTGTCCTGGGGATAAGCAAGGCTCCCTTCGCTAGATGGTCACTCTACGTGGACCCCGACTAGTGGCCCCGGGTCCCCATCCTGCCACAAAGACACACAGCCATACACAGGGCAGGATGCAGGCGCCACCTGTGGTACCCCAAAGGAACCCTGCACCTCCCAGCACGACGTCCCTGAATCCAGACCCCCATCTGTGAGAACAGAGGAAGACCTGGCATAGGGCAGGGTGCAGAGCGGGCAGCAGGTTTGGAGCCTACGGCTTGGGGGTGGGTCAAGTTCACAAGGACAGGGAGTAAGAGCCCTCTGAAATCACAACCTCACCACGAGCGCTCGACACCAGGCCAGGTGAGCCTACAGAAAGAGACAATGGCTCTCTGGGGTGAGGTCAATTTCAATTTCTTTTTAAATGGTCTTCTTTTTTCCCTGCATTTCACAAGTGCTCAATAGAGAACAAGTATTACTTTGAAAGTTGGGAGGAAAAAAATGCTACATAGGAAATGAGACGTAGGAAATGAGAAACTGAGATGGTCACACAGAGACCCCCCCTCAAACCCTTCACCCCGACCCCGGAGCCAGGACTGCGCTGGGCCCCACCCCTGCAGGAGACCCAGCAGGACGCGTCCCC